TTCACTGAGTTACGCAAGCCCCTTCGCCACGACAAGGCAGTGATCCATGAAGGGGAATTTGATGTTCACCTGTGAATAAATGCCCAGCTGCTATATGCAATACCCAAAGACAAGGAAATTTCATTGTACCACTGATTTTCTTAACATTGTAGTTATAGAAATTGGTCATAGAATGTGAACACTTTCCTCAAGGATTTTGGCCGTTTTCTGTAAGACTATGATAAAAAGGGGGGGGGGGGCAGGAACCTATTTCCTTATACATCCTGTCTATGAAAACTTGTTAACATTCTTAACCAGTTTTTCCTCTTTCTTGCACCAAAGTCCTTCCATGTGTGAGCATTCTTTTCAACAAGGATATACATTAATACGTGATACGAAAAACATTAACATTCATTTTTTTCACCATTTAGAGAGCTCTTGACACCTCAGCAGCACTATGATTGGGGCTTGCGAGCATTGAAGACTGTTCTGAGGGGATGTGGAAATCTTCTTCGACAGCTGAAAAAGAATGGAATGAAAAAGAAAGGTAAAGAACATTACAAAAATTTATTCAAAGATTTGCATTCTGACCACGTTTTTATTTTCATTTGTATAATATGCTTGTTAAAACTTCACTGAATTTGATTTAAAACTTACAGCATTAAAACCCTATTACCTGAAAGATACGTGTTGTGGTTCTAGAAGGTAAGCTAGTTTGCTTATATTGCAGCTTCAAACAAAAATAAATTGTATTATGTTTCTTTTTTTTTTCACGCAGTTAATGAAAGCCATATTGTGGTCCAAGCTTTGCGTCTTAATACCATGTCAAAGCTTACCTTTGCAGATTGTGCACGGTTTGATGCATTAGTTAAGGATGTCTTTCCTGGTATTGCCTTTAACGATGTAGATTATGCTGAATTAAATAGTGCTTTGCAAAAAGCCTTTGAAGAGGCCAATCTGGAAATCATATGTACCCAGGTAAATATCCACGGCTACTCTAGAAAATAGTGGTTATTTTAACCTTCGTCTTTCTTTATATGTAATCTGTGATTTCAAGCAGACTTTTAAGCAATCTGTATCCATCCATCCATCCATCCATCCATCCATCCATCCATCCA